GTAGGGAAATGGGGAGAGCTTAGAAACGCTAAATAGGGTGTAAAACCATCACAGATACCACTGAAGTCGAGGATGCTGTGGAGATTTTCATTTAATCTGAGGATTTAAAAGTTACTTCCACCAGCCATCCACGTGCATTTAATGGTGATTAGTATATTGACGTCTACACACTTTGGTCAGCGGGCTCCTCCTTCTGCAACAAGGTCAGAGGATTTTCTCCGTAAATAAACTGGAACTTGCCCCTTTTAGCCGCTGAACTCAGCATAGCTCCAAGGGTTGGAGGCCGAGGAGAAGCTTTGCCCACAGCCCCCTGGCCTCACACTCGGGCTCTGTGGGTTGGCTCTGAGTAGCTGGGGGTCCCCCTAGTCAGGATGATTTTGCCCCTTTCCATTCCCAGTCTGGCTGCCCTGGTGGGGGCGGGGGGGGGATGTGCTTGGGGAGCGGTCTTGGGGCAGGGGTGCTCCATTGGGGGTTTGCTTTGCTCACATTTACACTATCAAGCCAAGCGCCCTCCCCCAAGAAGGCGGGAGACTTCGGGGCTGACCATGACCTGCACTGTCCCGTTGCCCATCCCGAACACCCCCTTGGATCTCGCCTGGGATTCCCAAGCAGTGGGGAGAGCCCAGCATCAGTGGGGGCTGCTTTGTCTGGGGCAGGCGCTCCCCTCCCTTATCCGTCCGTGCCCCCTGGAAGACGTGGTGTCACCCCAGCTCACAACAGAAACCTGGGCTTGGGTGACCGTGGCTATAAAGGAAGTGGGAGTGCTCGCCCCAAAGGCAGCATGCTGCCTCCCACCCAGGACTGGCGTGGGCCCGCTCTCCTGCCAACTTGAACGTTACTCACCCTGTCCTGCCTGGGGGATGCTTCTGAATTTTAGCCTGCGTGCGCCCTGTCACCACCATTTAGCCTCGGGGACAGGTCACCCCCTGAACAAGCCCCATCACCCCATCAGCCTTGAGCTTGGTGATTAGGGACCCGAGGGATCACCGACAGCCAGCCCAGGAGTGCTGTCCCCAGCGGCCCTCATCACCACAGCGCGGACCCGCCGTGAACTGAGTAACAGATGCAAAGAGATGCGGTGTCGCCTCCCCGCAGTGGGTGACAGTGCGCCTCCAGCCCGCCATAACGAGAATCTGACGAGCTCAAGCAAGAGCGTGCCGCTCGGCCCGCCAGCAGGAAGGTGGGACGAGGCTCGCTGACCGTGTGGGCCGGAGCCGCCTGCCGCGTGGGTGTGTAGATACTGGGTGTCTGCAGGGACGTTTGTGGACAGTGTAGACAATGGAGGCAACACAGCATAGTGGAGGGAAACAGTTTTCGAGTCGAGCTCCCCAGGGTAGCATGCCAAATCTGCCACCTAGGCTGGACCCTGGGGCATGTCCCCTGGCCTTACCCTCCTCAGGTTGGCATGCAGGCCCAGGGATCCCACCCTGGCCGGAGTGCTGGTCCCAAGGCTGCTGCTGTGGCACTGATGGGAGGCCCCGGCAGTCGTGGTGTACGCAGCACCTGGTTACGTTTCATGAAAGGCCCCCAAGGAGGGTCATGATTAAAATCAGTGTCCATGCCACCTGGCAGATATGGGGGAAAAAATTCTTCAGACGTGCTCAGGTGGCATGGGCTGTTGAAGCGGAAAAGCCAAGGTTGTAAACCAATTCCCGCTGTGAAGCTGGCCCTCTCCTGGTCCCCAGCGCTGAGCCCAGCCTCCTTGTGGCCCGACCCCGCCCTCTAGCAGCCACATTTCCTTCGTCCATGACCTTCCGAGGCTCAGAGTAGGGGCTTTGCCGTGTACATTACCCCGAGGCCGGAGAGTGTGTGTTTGCTTACCTCCCCTCTGCCCTGGGAGGCGACCAGGGAGCAGCCAGTGGCAGCTGTCGGCAGCAAAGGCGGCGGTGGGGGCGGGGGAGTGCTTTCTGGCCCTGACCTGGCCCCTTGCCCCATGGAGCAGCCGTCTGGCTCTGCAGGAGGGTGGCCGTGACCCCGGAGGGCTGTGTCCCAGTGAAGCCCTTATTGTCCTCCCTGTTGCCCAAACAAAAGGTTCTCTCTGTTCAAGAGTCGGGAAAAGTGTAATTTCGCAGCCGACCCCGTGATGAAGCATCTTCTCTCGGAGTGAGAAGATGGGCATATAAATATTCTCTGTCTCAGCCGCTCTTTATTTCCCTTGTAAGCAGTCACCCTATTTCTCCATCTGATGGACACCCCATCGCAGCCAGGGTGAGAGCTCCACAGCTCCTCAGTTCGGGCAGCAGCTTCTAAAATGATTCCTGTGTCTCAGTTACCTTTCCTGCAGCCTGTTTATCCTCCCTCCCCGCCCACTACCCCACCGTCCCCTGTGGCCCGTCCATCCCCAGCCTTGCCTCCCTCACAGACTGCCCTGTCCCTTGTCTCACGAGTGGTGGCCAGGAGACAGTGGCCTGGACTGTAGATTCCATGCCGTGTGCATAACACTGCAAGCCTCTAAAAATAGGAGCCAACAATTCCTGTGATTGAAACGGCAGCCAGAGTGCCTTCCAGACCCGCACACAAAGCCCT